GTAGAGAAACAGAACACAGTGAGCTCATTAGTTTTGGCCACTGATATGGGATAATGTAGCAATTAATGTCATTGTAAATACCAAAACGTATTGTTTTAATGGTGGATAACAAAATAAAGCACAAAACCAAACATACCTCTTGCTCAATTTTCACTATATCAATTATTTTTTATCACAACCATATTCAAAATGATGTGTTTCCCTGCTTTTGAAAGGAAATTCGCCAAATGGGAAGTGCATCCCATAATTTGGAACGCAGTAGTGATATGCGGAAAAAGGTGGATAGTACTTTTCATGATGTATACAATTACAAATCAATTTCAAGCATGATTTCTGCTTTACAGTTGAGAGTTATGTGGTTATCAGAGGTCATGTACAGAGAAATGTTCAGTTCTGGCATCCTGCAGGCAATGGCAATACCTTGACCTGGAATGAAACTTACCATGCTGCTCCTGTGAACTGAAAGTTGTTCTCTTTACGTTTGTAGATCTTGTACGCCAGGGACGTGGATCAGAGAAGCACAACATTCGAGAAGTCTCTACAGATGGGAAAAGAGTTTCAGAGACGAGCGAAAGCCATGATCCTGCGGGCGGCTGTGCTTCGTAACCAGATACACGTCAAGGTAACAGGGTCTCCAGGGTAACGTGTCCTCGCTCTGCTCTTCACCTAACCATCTCCCGTCCCATCCCGTCAGCATGAGCACCACACATTCTTCTGTGTTTTGTTATCTGTTGAAGCAGTAACATGTCTGATTTTTAATTTTTTTTATAGGGTTTATGTGATGGAGTCTTCACTGTTTTAATGTGTACATAACAGTCTGCATGAGTTTTGTTGTGTATTAAGTGAATGCTTAAGTACTGGTTCAGTTTACGTTTGTCCCAACAGCACAAGTGTCAAGTCACCTTTATTTTTATAGCGCTTTATACAAGAGAGATCGTTTTTAAGCAGCTTCACAGCAGGTAGTTACAGAGCGTTCGGCAGTACAGCGATTACATTACCTACAAACTCTGATTTGATTTTATTTTGAACCAGAAAACGTTTAGTTCAGCTGCATCATGAATACAGTTGTAAACTGAAGCTGTCCACTTTTTCAGCTGTACATTTGTGCACAGTACAGGACACAGTACAAGTTGAGTAAGCATTAAATTGTCTTTTTAAGGCAAAAATCTAGGTTACAGTTGAGGAATTTACAAGAGAAATGATTGGGAAGTTTATGCTGTGCTTTAATATGATTTTACTAATTTAATTGTTACTAAAGTGCTTTTTTGCATCTTAAAATAAAAACGTTTTTACTTTGAAAGGATGGATTCAATGAATCATTCATGGCAATAAATTCATTTAAGAATATTTAAAGTTTTCATATTCAGACAAACTAGATTTTTTCTGAAAAACTTTAAAACTTTTTCACTGTTCCACAATAACACTTTGTTTAATAGTGTTTATTATTGTAAATCATAAATGATTTTGAGCAGCAAAGCAGCATATTAATTTCTAAAGAACCATTTAACTTTGAGGACAAATAATGATGCCTAAAATTCAGCTTTACGTCAGAAAAAAAATGTTTTAAAATGTTTTTAAAGTTATGCTAAACTGTAATATTTGACCGTATTAATGTTTAAACTATTTGATTGGATGAAATCCTGAAACACAAACGCCATTCATACATGTCTTTTCTTTCATTTATAGATCACCTGAAAAGTATTTTTTCCATTGACGTGTAATGTTACAAACTATTTGAAAATCTAGGATTTGAGTTTTTTTTTTTTTTTAACATTTTAAAGTGCTTATCAAAATGTGTTTTTTATCTATTTAAAGTAGAAAACATTTTCTTTATGATCTTTAACTTGATTATAATGATTTTTATCATGCAAGAAAAATCTAAAGTAGCCTTAAGATTATATACTTAAGTAGCCTTAAGTATAGGTCAAATTGTGATCCTGGATCCCAAATAAATGTATAAATGAGTATTAAACCTTAAATTGGTTTGGAGAGAAAGTGTTTAAAATGGTAATGTGCACTTTAGATATTTGGTTGCCAAGAAAACAGAACACTGTAAATTCTAGGGTTGGGTAATGAATGGTACCTGTATCTATGTAACCAGTATGCACCAGACTAATTAAGCATATACATTTCAGCGCCACTGGTGCTGCAACAAAAACATAAGCATCAAGGGGTACATCAAAGGCACACGTAGGTACACGTTGTGTTACACCATCTCTAAACATTTATTTCTAAACAACTTTGAGGAATACATATACTATGTGTGATGGTTAGCGTTGTTCTTGTTGCTTAGGGTAGGCACTCATGTAGGCAATGCGCACAGTACAGCACATCCGATGAGAGACTCGCTTCAGGAACAATATGTTGCTGAATGAAAGTGAAACTGCTGAACTGCAGTTAAGGTCGTAAAAATGTAAAATTAAACACCTGAAATTAACATGAAATTCTGGAGGAAATGTGGGTAAGTGAGATGATGTAACGATATTAATAATTTATGTACTGTAACATGTAAAACGGGATCATAAAAAGAACATTCAAAAAGAAACTCATGTAGTCTAAACACCTTAATCATATTATTGTCTTATTCAGATTAATGCAAATAATTAGATTAATGATGTCCGTGTAAACAGTCACAGGCCCCAACACTAGAAAAAAAGTGTCCGCCTTTCCGCAGGTTAGTAACAAGCTAATGTGATGTCAATTGCATTGTGCAAATCCTAAATTTATGCTAACAAATGATCAAAAGAAATGTATATTAATGCAATTCAATTTAAATATATAAGATATGAATTGATTCTATACTTTAAACTTCAATTATATTGTTCAATTAAAATGATTATTATATATTTTTTTCAAATAAAAGATTTTTCTAGAGTCATCCACCATAATTTTGTGCCTCTGTTCAGGCACTGTTTTGACACCAGTACCGTTTTAGAAACAGTACCGAAATAACCCTAAACGACATCCAACCGACATCCAACCGATTTTAACATTGTCTCACTCTTAGTACATCAGCTTAAACTGTTTTATCAACATTGTGCAAATTGAGCTTAACCTGAATTGAGCCTGGAATATTCCTCTTCATCCCTTCATGAACACCAGCATGTTTCCCTTCTCAGTCTAGTTGATTTATTTATTTTCTTGCCACACTGGCGACTGACCCTCTGCTTCCCTTCACAGTCCCCTCCAAGAGAAGGCAGTCAAGGGGAGCTCACACCTGCCAACAGCCAAACACGAATGAGCACCAACATGTGAAGACTCGACCAGATGCCTCTCCTAGGAAAGTACACGGGGCCACTGCCGCATCTTAGGCCCCCTGTTTAGAAATCAATTATTTCCCCGCTGAAGAGAGAAAAATCACAATCTAAAGACTTTAAGTTGGGAAGAAGATCTCTGTTGTCTGTATTAAAGACAAGCACACCCTGTTGCTCAAATGAAAAGGAAAAAAAAAAAAAAGAAATGCGGCACTTAAGCTGTACTGGCCTGTTGTTCTTTGTAAAGAATGCACTTTCCTCTGTATCTTGTGACAAACCTTGATTACACATTGAGAAACCTCATCACAAAACATGCTTTTAAAATAAACATACATTCAAAAAGACGCTTCGGCTTGGAAAGCTTCTTGTTTTCGGTTTGATTGGTTTATAACACCCAGGTTAATTTAGTTTTTTTACTCAAGTCTGGTGATTGTGTTTCGCTGTTTAAATGATGTATGTGCACACAGGCTTTTCATTTCAGTCAGCCAGCCTCAGGGATTCCTGTTAATTGTCATCCCATACAGAATCGCTGCATTATAAAGATCTGATTTCTTTTTAAAACCGTGATCTTCACTGCCTGACAGATACAATATAAGTGGCTGTTAGACCAAACAAGCACTGCATTACGTTTTTGCAGCGCCTGTGTTTAAACGGTCTTTCATCTCTTAAGCTTTAACGGCCAAATGGATGCTTGAATTTATTCAACTGATTATATCTGAATCACATTACAACATCAATGCTGTAAAAGCGATCATATAAAATTGAAAATAGTCGCATAAATCTTTCACTGGAAGTTCATTATTAGCTGAAAAACACTAGCTGTGCATGTAGCTCATTCTTACCATAAAATATTTAAAGCATTAGAGTTGATGCATTTTTGTAAACTTGATTTAATGCACAAACATTTTGGCTACAGTGTGTGTGTGTGTGTGTGTGTGTGTAGGATTTACAGTAGATACTGTTAACTTAACCTGGTTCCTTTCCTGCTTTATTAAGGAGATTTTCACTCCAGTAAATGATCATGATCTCCTCAAAGACAGTCAACAAAACCAAGCATTTCATGGCTTTGAATAAACTGCAAAATCTATGCATTTTGGTCATTATTAGCAACAGAAGAGGGTGTTTTTTTTGCCTTAAATTTATGTGGTAAAAAAAAAAAAAACTGAATCCAAACTTTGAATCTTTGAAGCCGGTTTGCAGCAAAAAAGCCAAATATTTTTAAGAACAGTCAGATTCATTCATTGTTGTTTAAGGAACATACATTAAGGCACTGAGTTGGTTGCTGATGTTTAAAATGAATGTGTGGAAATGACTGTATTAATTAAGAAGATTGTTGAACTGAAGTTGTATTACAGCAAACCTTCCTAAAGTGTGTATATATATATATATATATATATTTTTTTTTTTTTTTTTTTTTTTAGCACAATAAATGCTAAAACATCAGAATTTAACACCCATATTAACTTGATAAGGAATTTGTGTAGTGCAGAGGTGTCCAAACTCTGTCCTGGAGGGCCGGTGTCCTGCAGATTTTAGCTCCACCTTGCATCAACACACCTGCAAGGATGTTTCTAGAAAGCCTAGCAAGAGCTTGATTGGCTAGCCCAGGTGTGACTGATTGGGGTTGGAACTAAACTTTTCAGGACACCGGCCCTCCAGCACTGAGTTTGGACATCCCTGGTGTAGTGTAACCGTCCTCAAAATGAACATAAGTAAGTGTGTGAAATAGTTACAGTGATCATCCATGACTGCACAAGCACACAGTAAATGTTTATCGATGTTTGAAAAAATAACACCTGTAAAAATCCAAAAGTCAGATTGCGATTTTGGTTGCAACAAAACCCTGTTTCATTTCAGAAGACAATAAATAGTAAAAATGCAGAGGTTCAGAATGTGTTTGAATGAAGATCTTCATTGGTGTATTTCCACAAAGGTCCAGAGTCCTTTGTAGGAATACACAAGAGTCCAGCTCTTTTTTTTTTTTGGTAAAGATTGTGCGTTCAGTATGTCTGCTTCACAGACTGCATTCCCAGTTATTTATCACAATACTCTAAACTCTTAATAAGCAATCGGAGTCACAGCAGTCCAAAAAGTGGTACTTCATTACAGAAACCCAGCGCTCTGCATAACATGTTCTCTTGTGCATCCAGATGTGCCAATTCCATCTCAATACAGTTTTGACCCTAACTTCCTTCTTCAACTTTCAATTCAGTGCAGCAGCTTTTTAATGGTAAACAAATGTGTCCTGATGTTGCTGTCTCCCATTTCCATTCCATAAGTCTGCTTCAAGCTTGTAATGGATCATGGACTGCAGTGGAAACTGTCTGAGTGCTGGCTTTTCCGTTTGTCAGGCCTCCTCCACTTGTATCCGAGTTGCACTGTCTTAAAGCCTTGGTTTTGAACTTCAATCCGTGTCCTGTCAAAGAGGAAATGCACTGAGATTGATGCTGGGTAAAGAGGCTGTATTGTATTGATAGAACTATGGCGTTTTTAAACATTTTAGAGGAATGAATGCGCTACATTTATCATCTTGTTTTACGTGTACGAGCATTTTGCAAAAATCAAACACATGAGTTCGGAAACATCTGTGATGAAGCCTTTTAGAATGACCCGTAATTCAAGTTACAAAAAAGCTAAATATTCATTTATTTTAGTTATTGTAAGAATTTAGTGAATTCACACATGCTCAAATGGCACTTTCCAGAATATCAGTGCATTTTTTATACAATAAACAAGCTAATATTAGTGCCAGTTTTGTCTTTTTCTGGTTTTGTCAGTAATTGTGGTTCCAAAGAAAGGTTAAAGCAGAGCATTCTTTCTCACAGCAACACCACTTTTATTCCTGAATCAATGATTCAATATTCTATTAACAGCGACTTCCTTCATTTCTAAATGTATCCATCCATTTTGACTGAATCATTTGAACTACTGATTTCATGAACCACCGACTGACTGTTTTAGTGCCATATATTTATCGACGATGAGCCTAAACCAATGGGTTCAGCAAATCCCTACAATGTTCACTCAGCAAATATTGCACAGCTCTACTTATGTTGATGTAACTTACTGACTTACAGCAGCACAATGTATTGTTTCAGCATTGATATCACAATCTACAAATGTTTATTACATTTTTTTCTTTTTGAGTACAGAGAAACTCAATCCAAAACTAAAACATTGTTCATATACTGAATAAAAATCTGTTAATTCTAGCTAACTCACCAGGTTGGCGCCTATAGAGCAGCAGAAATAATGGTTTTGCCTTGATTATTGCAGTAAACAAAGCAGCAGGATGTCAAATCTAGCAGGATTTCACTGATATTATAAACTACACAGCATCCTGATATTTGCCGATTTAATTGAGGCAAACTCTAGCAAACAACCATACATTGCAAAAGCAAAAATCATATAAAATTTAATACCTTGCAAAATAGCATTTAAGACTTTTTAATACTTTTAAAAGGCCTTAAATTTCCCTAAATTGACTTAATAACTTTTAATACCCCGCGGACACCATGATCAACCCATGCTCTCAATTTGCATCATCCTAGAACTATACATATCTGCCATCTAACAGTCATCTCTACTGTCAACTGTAAAGTAGAAACATGTATTTCCTGTCATGCTGCTTTGAAACACACATCATGAAAAGTGTGATACCAATAGAAGCGAACAAAATGAATTTCATAATGTGTAATTAGACCAGTAATTCTCAGAGTAGCTTCATTCATGGCTTAAACACTGAAAAATAAACTAACCAGGACAATCAGCCACTTCCTTGAAAGCCTTCCTCTTACAGCAGCCACGGCACAAGTTAAAGACACATTTGTTTCCCTGTTGAGGTAGCAAAACAAAACAAAAACACATTTATCTTGAGTAAATCTGGCCATTTTTCTATGTTGGTTCTACTTTTGAAATGAGTTCATTAACAGTTTAAATGAAAGAAAAGATCTTGAAGTCTTACTTTTGGGTTTCCACATTGCTCACACTTGATATATTTTGCTGCATAACACAAGAAAAAACAAGGGTTAACATCCAAAATGTTAGCTTGTATTTAAAGTTATGTTAGACACAATGTTTGCAAAAAAGGTTAATACATTTACACAGGAAAAAAAAATCTATTTTGATAAAAAATAGTAACAAATGACAGTAAAGTCACGTATTATGAAAAAAATAGATATTTTTAAATACATTGTCCACAGCTAAACTGTTTTCGACACAGATAATAAAAAAGAAATGTTTATTGAGCAGAAATATCAATGCCATAGCCTGATTTCGGAAGGATCATGTGATACTGAACACTGGAATAATGTTGCTGAACATTCATCTTTGATAACACATGAATAATCTTTCTAAAATTTTTTTAAAAGTAAAAAAATATATACACTTTGAACAATAAAATTTCATTATAGTTCAGAAAAAATCCATTGGGGCCATTCATTGACCCCATTATGTTAGGAGATGATGATAAAAGTCATCAGTTCTTACGCTTCAGCTCTGGACAGAAGTTTTTGTGTGGGTTGCGGGCCTTCTTCTTCTGCTTGTTCTTAGACATGGCGTCATTGGGGCCGTCGCTGTCCTCCAGCGCCCTCTTCACACTCACAGCCTTTGTTTCTTGTGATTTCTGCCCATTTTCAGTGTTTGGATCCTTGGGTCTGCAAAATATATTTGGTGTGTGTTACAAACCTGTTCCAATATATGCTCAGTTGCATTCAAACTCATTGTTGAGCTCACAATTAAATAAAATAAAGTTGGCTTTGGCCAATTCAGCAAGCGCCAAAGGCTATGATTAATAATATATTGCTGGACTATAATTTTGTCAATGTACACTGTATTTATCAGGATTTTTGTATTGTTTTTAGGGAGATACTTTGACCATCTGTCCAGAGACAACTGATGAAAAATAATATTATAATATGTACGTTCTGCCAAATAAACCAATCAATAAATAATTGTGACATTATATTCAAACTCACGGTGGTCTGACGTAGGGCTGACAGATCCAGTGTGGGAAGGGAAGTCCAGTCTGATTCCATTCAGATTCATCTTTTGCCATCTCCTCCTGTAATAGTGGAAAAACGAGCAATCATGGTGCTTCATTAAATGAAGCCTAGTGCAATTACATCATCATGGACTAATATTTGACTACAATAGACTACTACCTGACAACGTTGTTTCAGCTGTCTGTTGACCTCCACAATGCCATCTACATTTTTTGCTTTGGCCAAGTCTTCTCTCAGATCTTGATGTATCTGGAGACTGCGAAACATTTAAATGTAAAATAACTTTGGTTTTTACATTTTTTTGTGATTTATTCCCAGAATTGCAAAGCTGATTTTTCAGCAGCCACCACTTGAATCTTAAAAAGTCACAGTCCTTCAGAAATTATATAGAAATAAATTTTCCCTTTTTTTTATTTATCATAAATATGTGGCAAAAATTTTATTGTTTTCAAAGTTGAAAACAGTCATGCCACTTATTTATATTTAATCATTTAGCAGACACTTTTATCCAGAGTGACTTGTAAATGAGGGTTTGGGTATGATGGATACTATAGATCAGCTAACCCTGTTCCTGGAGAGCCACCTTCCTGCAGATTTCAGTTGCAAACCATATCAAACACACCTGCCTGTAATTATCATGTGGTGTTCAGGTCCTAATTAATTGATTCAGGTGTGTTTGATATGGGTAACAACTAAAATCTGCAGAAAGGTGGCTCTCCAGGAACAGGGTTGGCCACCTCTGCTGTAGATAGATAGATTGGTAGAAAGAACGATATACAGAACGATAGACAGAAGGGTCTGGTGTATATGAAGAGGAAAGAGTGTGTCTCCTACAGGTGGTTTATCAAGTCCCTTCGCCTGCGTGAAGCACATGCATGAATATTTCTGGGAAATACAAAGCATATGGATACTTACAAGACATTCTAAGGATACAAATGTTTTTCTTTAATTGTTCGAAATAATGTTTTCATAGGAAATTGTGTCAAGAAATGTCATCAGTAGAAATTTACTCCAGAACTTTAATAGAGAGCAGACATACGTGTGATGCCACAGCTTGAAGATGTGAGCTCGGACAAAAGAAAGACTGCAAGGCGAGTGTTTCTCCACGATATCCAGGTACTCCTCAGCCATTTCCCACACAGGAGGACTGCGCCCTTCAAACAGTGCAGGATTGTGGAGATTCCCTTCTGTGAATGTGATGCATTCAGAATTTTATGACTAAATTTCAAAGCATCTTCCTGTATTTTAATATGCATGATTCTTTGAATCGGATGTTTTAAGGAAGCTGCTACCTGCACTCATGACACCTTGTACTCCAGTTTCCTCCATGCAGTGGTGAACATCACTCAGGTGCTGGATGTTTCCATTGGCAAACACAGGTATGTTTACTGCCTCCCTGTATAAGCACAATAAAGTAATGCTATTGGGAAAAAAACACTAACCTTGACTAGCGGAAAGTTGCTTGATTTCAATATGTGAGCATTGAGTAACTTATTTCCAAAATACTGATAACTGGACCAGTTTTTGAACACATTATTTCACAAATGTAAACGCTTTAAAAGAATAGCTCAGCCATCCTCAAAAATTTACATTACCCATCAATTTAGTCACCCTGAGCCCATTTACAAAGACGTCACTTTGATTCGTAGCAGAACACTACAGATTTTAAGCTGATTTTTTTGATTCACAAAATGTGAACAATACTGGCAATTTAAGGCTCAAAGAAATATACACGGGCAAAAAAAAAAAAAAAAAAACACTCTTGGTGATAAACTGGGGTCTCATGAAGTGACATAATCAGCAGTCTACAGCTATGTTTCCATACAAAGATGCAAATTAAGTTTATGCACAAAACTGGAATAATCGTAAAAAGACATTGGAAAAAAATCAACGCTTCCATATAACAAGTCATAGAGAATGAAATCGTCACTTCCTGCTAAACTGGTGCTAAATATCAAAAGTAAAAACATAATTTGCTGCGGTAGGAGAAGCTACATGAAACTTTTCCTTATTTAATAAATTACTTGAGCCTCAGAAGACAATGCCGAAATGCAATGAATGTGTGGTGGTGTTTGAAGGCGTCAGACACAGAGCACAGATGCTATTGACAGTTCTGGATGTTATTAAAAATATAATAACACTAAAACTATCATTCAGTAATGTTCTTGCATAGACCGATAGTTTGACATCTTAAGATATTATGGTGTCATCAGGAGCCACTTGTGTTCATTATTTTCTGCCTGTAAATGTTCATTTAACTCTAGGGACTGGTGTCCACCAAAGTACTTTTGCAAACCTGAATTTATTTTCTTAAAATGCTCATCTGTGAGTGCTTCCTATTGCACATAATATGCTCAGCTTACTTAAAAAGATTTGTGCCAACAACTGAAAGAATATACTCATCTTGGGAAAACAGCTCAGTGGACACGCACCCTAAAAGTGCCAGTAGTCTTTGACTTAGATTTCATGGATAATCAAGGATCAATTTCATCCAAAAATCATTTTTAGACATAAGAGAAAGAAAAATGGCCTTAAGGTGAATATAATAATAGGTTTTTGGAACAATCAGCGCCCGTTGCAATTGTATCTCCTACCTTACAGCTTTGATGTGCTTCCAGCTGGCAATGCCAGTCAGAGCCCCCTTTTGATCTTTGGTTCTGCCATGAACTGTGAGAAGCTGTACAAAAAAAGCAGAAGATACAAAACTGTCACGAGATGGTTCCGGAATATACAAACTGCATTACAGTTTAGAGGCAATGAATTGGTAATAGCAAGTAACATAAACCATATCAAACCTAACTACCCATTCAAGACATCATCCTAGGCAAAAAGCATCTACTACACAAGTTTCACAACACTTCACCTGGCATCCAGCCTTTTCCAGCATTTTGGCGTACTTCACGGTTTTCTCAATCTCTGGGAAGACCCGGATTTTGCACGTAATGGGCACGGAGAGCTTTTCATTGGCTAGTTTAACTGTAAATGACAGAGTCTGAATAAAACATACAATTGGCAGGACTCACGTCCACATTGAGGTATTGCAATGAGACTTACTCATCTTCTCAAGGAGGTCCCACTCGTCTTGAAGAAAGACTCCATAATGGCCTAAGTAAAAGTCAAAGACATTAAATCAACCATCACCCATCACTGGCATGCACTTCCCTACACTCAATATTTCATGAGGTAAAATTAAAGGAATAGTTCACCTATATATATATATATATATATATATATATTTTTTTTTTTTTTTTTTTTTGAAGACAGCTGTACACCTGTAACCACTGACTTACATAGTATTTCTTTTTCCTACAATGGGTGTCTGTTTTCAGCTTTCTTCAAATAAACTTTCCTTTTGTTTTTAACAGAAGAAAGAAACTCAAAAGCGTTGAGGGAGAGTAAATAATGAGCTCATTTTCAAATATCCCTCAAGTGTGTGCGCGTGTTCACGTTTCAAGATTTTGTTGTCTGGTGTGATTGCTCTGTGAGTGTGGTTAATTTTTTAGAAACGTACATTCTAAAATATGACATTTAACAAATAAAGTAGACAAAAATACAACTCTGGTGAGATCTGACAGAAATATGATACAAAATACAAATCAAAAACAGCAGCTGAATTTACACCACGGTACCATATAAAGCACAGATTTCTCAAGCATGCAGAGATTTACTTGTGTTTCTGCCCATTACATTTTAAAACAGGCATCAGAAAGGTGTCTCCTTGCCAAAAATGTTGTTGTGACAAAGGAAGTGACAGTGTTGTATTGAGATTTCTATACACATTTTTAAAAGCTCTTTATGTGTTTTTTGCTGTTAAAAATATTATAAAATGTAGTACCTCATACACCGGTCCAGCTGCTTGTTTATGTAAATTTCTATTCAGCCAATCACATGGCAGCAACTCAATGCATTTAGACATTTAGACATGGCCAAGATGATCTGCAGCAGTTCAAACAGAGCATCAGAATGGAGAAGAAAGGTGATTTAAGTGACTTATGTGTCACAAATGTGGCATGGTTGTTGGTACCAGGCGGGCTTGTCTGAGTATTTCAGAAACTGCTGATCTACTGGGAATTTCATGCACAACCATCTCTAGGGTTTACAGAGAATGGTCTGAAACAGAGAAAATATCCAGTGAGTGGCAGTTCTGTGGGCACAAATGCCTTGTTGATGCCAGAGATCAGAGGAGAATGGCCAGACTGGTTCGAGCTGATAGAAAGGCAACAGTAACTCAAATAACCACTCGCTATAACTGAGGTATGTAGAAGAGCATCTCTGAACACACAACACGTCCAACCTTGAGGCGGATGAGCTACAGCAGCAGAAGACCTCACCGGGTGCCACTCCTGTAAGTTAAGAACAGGAAACTGGGGCTAGAAGTCCCACAGGCTCACAAAAATTGGACAACAGAAGATCGGAAAAACGTTGCCTGCTCTGATGGGTCTCGATTTCTGCTGCGACATTCGAATGGTAGAGTCAGAATTTGGCATTAACAACATGAAAGCATGGATCCATCTTGCCTTGTGTTAACGGTTCAGACTGGTGGTGTAATGGTGGAGGGGATATTTTCTTGGCAAACTTTTTGCCTATTAGTACTAACTGAGCATTGTGTCAACATCACAGCCTCAGTATTGTTGCTGACCATGCCCATCCATTTATGACCACAGTGTACACATCTTATGATGGCTACTTCCAGCAGGATAACGCTCCATGTCATAAAGCATGAATCCTCTCAGACTGGTTTTTGAACATGACAATGAGTTCACTGTACTCAGATGGCCTCCACAGTCACCAGATCTCAATCCAATAGAGAACCTTTGGGATGTGGTGGAACGGGAAATTCGCATCATGGGTTCTATCATGTCAATATGGACCAAAATATTGAGGAATATTTCCAGTACCTTGTTGAATCTATGCCATGAAAGATTAAGACAGTTCTGAATGCAAAAGGGGGTCCAAGTTAGCAATGTGTACACAATAAAGTGGCTTGTGAGTGTATAATGTACATGTTTACCTTATCAAACAGATGTTTTAGGAATTCTTTTTTTTTTTGTACCCTTATGCTCAGTGCTACAAAATATAAGTGTAAAAGCTAAGACAACTACTAAAAAGAACCAAAAGCAGCAGTTATTTTTTTTAACATTATACTTTTTTTTTCCACGGACAAATCTGATAAATTTAATGTCCCCTTATATCTTTAACTGTGTTACATCCCATACAGTAATTGATCTGTCATGCAAGCTTCACTACCTCTTTTAGCAATCATCTGCGGGCAACCCAAATTCAGATCGATGGCGTCACAGTAATCCTGGGCGAGCAGTGCTGCTTGGATAAACACCTCAGGATCATTGGCACAGAACTGGATGGAGACATCAACATGAAAATGACACTCATGCAGCAAAACATACTCTCCATCTCTTCGTATTGAGGTAAAGTTAGTTGTATATTCACACATTCGTTCAGTGCAACCTGTGACATGTTCCCAATATTGTTTACCATGGTACTTTGAACATTCGGCCTGAAATCACATGCACTTAAATCAGAATCAGTTTTATTGCCAAGTGTGCTTTACACACAAGGAATTTGTTTTGGCTACAGAAGCTTCCAGTATACATAAAGTGACAAGTGACAACACAAATATGAAAAAAAGGAAGATAAACATTAAACGGAGATGCAGTTAGTCAAAAAAGATCTGGATGGTAAATTGCATGTACATATTTGATATAAATATACAGGTAAACAACATTAGCACTATTTAGTTGACTGTGAACAATGTTGTACTTTGATAGCCACTGGCTGCTAATATGATGCAAAGAAGTATACTTTTCTGAAAATATATTATTAAGCAGAAAGTCCGTGAATGTGTGAATTTAAAACCAACTTCACCTCAATTCTCTACTGTCCACAGACCCACCTGAGTGATGAGGGGTCGGTCCTCCTGGTTGACCTCGCTGTAGAGGTTTTCCCGGCGGTAGTTGGCATCTCGGACGAAGACCTGTGCGTGCAGCATGGGTGTGTAGCAGAGCTCTGCGCCATGTCTGCGGCTCAGCAGCCTCCACGCCAGCTCGCTCTGATCCACCATGGGCGCGACCACGAAGCGCGCGCCCTTCAGAGTGCGCCTCCAGAACTCGAACCCGAGGGGTTTCGTCATGCTGCCTGCCTACATAGGGTGAAACATTAATACTATTGTAACGTTAAACAAATAAGGTCACAGTCGAGGATATGATTTGCTTGCATGCCTAATGTGTTACCATAACTTAACGTAGGCAAACGTGTATTGTACGAGTAATAGAGTATAGTATGAGCATTACATTTAGATGTGCGAAGTCATTGTTTACTTCACATTTTAAAATGTGTTTCAGCAAAATAAGCTGAAGAGGTTGGACTCACGGAATGGGATGTAAAAAAAAAAAAGAAATAGACCTTAATGCACACAAAAGGCAAACCCTTTGAGTTGGCTTTTATATTAACTTTGAGTTGTCATTATTTTAAATTACGCTGCATTTAAATGAGAACTAAGTACTTACAGTAGCTTGTGGTACAGCCAGACTGCGATATATGCGGCACATGAACTGTTGTATGTGTCGCGGTGAAATACAGCCGTGAGGAAACATTGCACCGATAGATTTATTCCGGGTGCGATTAAAACACGCATCTCTTTTGGTAAGACTTATCAATGAACTGTAAATTTATGTCTTTGTAAAACCAGACGTACGTGTCATATTTTTAATGTACCGATGTATTCTTTTTATATGTGATCAAGTTTGTATATGTCCGTATTTGCATCAGTTTAATGGAGAGAGGACTAGAAATTGGACCATAGGCATTTACAAGCATAACAATATTTTTTCTTTCTATAATTTTGTATTTTCTATAATTGTTTACTGATATTTGTATACTAAAATGTTTACCTCTGTACAATCGTGCTGCACTTACAACGTTCCACTAGGTGTCTCTGTAAACTCAATCATGCTGTGGAGATAGAGCCTATGAAGGCCCTATTTCATTTACAGTTTTTCTGAGTGGCTTTGGTGCATTTCTCACAACACTATTTACATTTGCACTACAGTTAATGCATTTCTCAAAACAATTAGTCATTTGTGCACATCCTAGTAGCAGTTTCTCATTCCTTCCAACACATTGCAAATGCTTTTGAGCATGCTTCAATTGCTTTCATACAACTCTGCTGTTTATAACATTATCATTTGCTTATGTCATGTCAGTCAAAATTAACTAAACTTCTGAATGCTGAATAGTCATTCCATATAAAACTAATAGTCCTTATTTCATTACTTGAGTCATTACATACAAAAATGTTGAACTAGTTGTCAAAATATGTCAAGCAATTTTTTCCCCTGAAAATGTTTCCTAAATTGAACAATTTCATGAATGATTTACAGACCTGTGTGTTGTAGGTTCAGTTCCAATATGTACTGCAATATCATTTACAATCATGCTTCCAAAGTAAGTTTATGTTTGTTGTAAATAAGGGTGTGTTTATTCTTTTGCACAATGCTGTGAGTGTGAATACATTATAATTGCAAAGAGCAAATGCAGTAAAAATGTGAAACATACATATCCAGTGTCTTGTACACAGATACCTCACTAAATGCAGTGATGTCTAACTTTACTGTAGTTTTCAAATGGCTGTGCAAATAACATGCTGTCTTGAGCATTTTCCGGAAGTGTCACCAAAATCTGACTTTTTATTTTTTTCCATTGGAAAAAATGTGCAGAGTAAACTGTCATAATGAAAACATGACAAAGCCATTGGACTATCTTGTTCATAAACAATGGTGTCAGGACTTTTCATCTTGAAGACACTTTCAATGACATCAATACTTGTTCTAAATGAGTGAGCTTTCCATTTTGAGCAAGTGACACACTTTTGCTGGTTATCAACTAGGTTTTGCCGTTTGTACTAATTGATTTGAGAAATGCATTAACTGTTGTGCACATGTAAATAATGTTGTGAGAAATGCACCAAAGCCACTCAGAAAAGCTGTATTATTTTCAATGTCTTTTTTTGTAATGTGCTTCAGTTTTTAGTTATTATTTTCTATGCCATGAAATAACAATAGATACAAGTAACAACTCTACTAATACCACTACAAATAAATAATTAGTTCTATATTTACACGTGTAGTAACGCAACAAAATAAATGTAACACTGCACAAGACAAACATTCATTCATTCATTTTCTTGTCGGCTTAGTCCCTTTATTAATCCGGTGTCGCCACAGCAGAATGAGCCACCAACTTATCCAGCAAGTTTTTACGCAGCAGATGCCCTTCCAGCCGCAACCCATCTCTGGGAAACATCCACACACACATTCACACTTATACACTACGGACAATTTAGCTTACCCAATTCACCTGTACCACATGTCTTTGGACTGTGGGGGAAACCGGAGCACCCAGAGGAACCTCACACGAAGGCAGGGAGAACATGCAAACTCCACACAGAAACGTCAACTGAGCTGAGGTTCGAACCAGCAACCTTTTTGCTGTGAGGCGACAGCACTACCTACTACGCCACTGCCTCGCCCCTAAGACAAACATTCATTACAATCAAAAATTAAAATTACTAAATTATTAACTAACTAAATTATTGATAGCCATAGGCCTTTGATGTTGGGTATGAGTGAACTATTTATGTGTGTGTATATGCGTGTATATGTATTGTACATCATGTTCTCGGATAAAGTGAATTTGGGACACCTGAGCTTCAGTGTGTGTGTGTGTGTGTGTGTGTGTTTTCTAACAAAATTCAGTCAACAGGACTTTTATTATAAATTTAGCATGGACTTTATGTGAGTGTAATCACATGACTTCATTGGGGGGGATCTACAAAGGGGGGCAGGGCCCTTGTCAATCAGGAACCTCTCATCAAAATTAGATGACAAGAGCCCCTTTCACACATACAGACCTTTCCGGAAAATTACCGGCTTATCATAAGCATCTCATCGATGATTATTTACACAGTTGGCATTAAGAAGAACATATAAACGTGATCTGACTAACTTCTAGCAGCTAAATGTGTCTGGAAAAATATTCAAAGGCTTTTATTCTCATGAACCGCGCGGACGTAAACGCGTCTGAATGTTGTGATTGGCTAAAGCAGGCGTCTCACGTCAGCACGTTCTAGACGTGCACGCGCTTATTACGGTAATCTTCCTTCTGCATTCACACAGCGCAGCATTCCGGCAAATTACCGGTAATGTTACAACTTCTCTTTCCGGAAAATAGCCAGAACGAATTTACCGGTATTTTCAAAAAGGACCTGTTCACACATACAACCTTTCCGGAAAATTGCCGGCAATTTTCCGGAAAGGTCTGTATGTGTGAAAGGGACTATAGTAGCCCCTTTCACACAGTGATACCGGTAAATATCCGGAAAATTTCCGGAACGACTTTACCGGTATATTCAAAAAAGCACTGTTCACACAGGCGAGGACGTTACGGAAATTTTCCGGAAAAGAGCATTCACACATCCATTCCAAAATACCGGTAAATTCTGACATCATTCACCACAAATGAGCTTTAAACGGCTGCGCTTGTATTTGTAAACATTTGACTAAATTACAAACTCTGTGGATGATCAATATTGTGAACAACTTTCGCAGGATCACTTCAGATGTTCATAATATGTGCGTATGCACTATGCAGGCGCTCATAGGCGCACGCAAAGCTTGAAGGTAAACAAACAACGGCTTATCATAAGCATCTCATCGATGATTATTTACACAGTTGGCATTAAGAAGAACATATAAACGTTATCTGACTAACTTCTAGCAGCTAAATGTGTCTGGAAAAATATTCAAAGGCTTTTATTCTCACAAACCGCGCGGACGTAAATGCGTCTGACTGTTGTGATTGGCTAAAGCAAAAGTCTTACGTCAGCACGTTCTAGACGTGCACGAGCTTATTCCGGAAATCTTCCTTCTGCGTTCACACAGCGCAGCATTCCGGCAAATTGCCGGTAATGTTACAACTTCTCTTTCCGGAAAATAGCCAGAACGAATTTACCGGTATTTTCAAAAAGGACCTGTTCACACATACAACCTTTCCGGAAAATTGCCGGTAATTTTCCGGAAAGGTCTGTATGTGTGAAAGGGGCTAATGTTCCCCATTGCTGTCAAATTATGTTTGTGATCTTTTCAAGTGAAAATGTTTTTTAGATTTTTTTTATTTTCGAACATTTGTGTCGTTCAACTTTATCAAACATGATTGATATTAAAACCCCTTTTAATCTATGACACTTTAATCTCTGGCACAATGACACTTCTCTTTAGTAATAATAAAATCAACAGGCATGCAAAAGTTTCTCATCTTTCAGGACCTTTGTGTTTACGGATCACTGGTGAAAACTATTGTTCCACAAAGCACCAGTTAAGCAAGTGTAGCTGTGAAAGAAGATCACACTGTTTGTCAGCTCTTTGTTTTGAAAGTTTGTTTTATTGTACTCCTCTTTTAACGAGGAGCACAGCAGCACCAATGCAGTGTGTGTGTGGAGCTATAGAGCTGTTTTAACAATCTGCTGGGCTGTTAAGAGTGGGCGTTAACAGACAATCCTGGCGCATTGCTCTCAACGTGACTGAGCACATGCAACTGAAAGCTGAGTAATTCAGTCACGTGACTCTCACCTATACAGCCTCGAGCATTGGCTGTGCTCTGGCCAATCACAGCGCACCGAATACAAGATCAGCTTCAGAAGGCGTTATCAGTGAAAAGTGATCATGTTTCAGAGAGAGGCCTCAAAACACTCAGAGAAAAGTTGTTTTTCACAACTGCTGCAATGAAGTTTATATGTGCAGTTATGAGAAAGCACTGTTCTTCAGCTAACAGTTAGGTCCGTGTATCATCCGTTCATTTGATTATTCCTTTTATTACGGAAAACGAAACATCAGAAAAACGATGAATATTTCGTTTTTCAGTTTATTCTGTAGGCAGAAAAAACGGAAACTCATCTGTTATTCTGCTTATTAACTTAAAACGAAATATTAAAACAAACACAAAACCAAAACGAAATAATGAGTCAAAAAATGGTCCGTGTACGGTCCGTGTACATTTTGTTCATTTGTTTTCCATTTTCAAACGGAATAAAGGAAATGGAGAAAACGGCCGTTTTTCCGTTTTTCTTTTGCTCACGAGAAAACGAAAAAACGAGATTTTGGCTGGATTTTCGTTTTTTGGTTTAGGGTAGGAAAACGGATAAACGACTTTAAAATTCATTTTACACATGTAGGCGGTACTGAAACGCCCACTTTCCTCTAATTGGTCAACCAAATCTGCGCTCGTGACGTCACCCTCAAAATAAAAGCCTTACACGCAGGCTTTTAATTATTATTATTTAATTATATATATAAACAAAGTTTACATATTCTATCATTTGAACCACACACAGTTAGCAGGCTTACATTCATTGCGTATGTATAAATTAAATAAAAACGTAAAGCAGTATTCTTAGACATTTGTCATTAAAATAAGGTCATAGTTCACTGCCAAGCTTCTTGCTGCTGTGCACCTGATGCAGAGCAAAGATAGCCATTTCCGAGGAGCACCTGGTTTGCATGATTGTTTCAGAACAAGGGCTTTATAATA